ATGGATGATTTTGGGCTATCAATATGAGAAATATGTACCACAAACAGTCCAAAAGGTCAACAGAAGTTAAGATTAGGCTCCTGAAACCGCAACGATAAATCTCGATGGGCTCACTCCATGAGTCGCCGCCATGATCTCCTTTGGATCGGGAAAACTAATGCGACAAGAATGAGTGGACGCAAATTAATGTAGTGTATTTATATGGAGAGAAAAATAGATGAACTACCAAACTTCGTAAGGAATGAGCCGAGAAACGGTAAATAATAGTACATCAACCTAATGTTGTTCGGCTTCCACCATCAACGACTGAGATACTTAGTAAACTATTTGCTACCTAATAATTTCTAATTCTCCAGACAGCTGATACTCAACAAATTTCATAATGAAAGGGCTAAACTTTTGTTGATGAATTCAACAGTACGTTATTAATGTCCGGCGTTGTGGGAACAAGTGGAATATCGCCTGGATACGGCACTTTCCCAGAAGACATGAAACGTGGACATATCCGAAGAAGGCAACGACAAGTAAGGTTCATCTGAATAAGGGTTATCAGTAGGTACTTCAGCACTTCTACTGATTCAACCATAGCAATTGGAGACGAAATAGTAAAAAATAATGCAAAAACTGAAAATAAATATGAGGTTGACCTTGTAGCTCATTTATCTGTAAAGAAAGAGGTCAAATCTCTTCTGAAGAAGAACAATAACTAGTAAAAGAAACCAGACTAATATGATTATAAACACGGTGTATTACCATATGCGCATATTGCAACAAGTGCTGAATAAAATTCTTTATGCCAAACAACCGTGGCAAATATGATCACAAACTATTAGGATGCGCTAAAGACGGAGAAAACCTTGAAAAATTTGAGAAAAAATTGAAAAACTTGGAGATGCGACAAATTGGATGCAAAGAAAAAGCTAAACAACGGCTAACTGAAACCGCAGTGTAATCAGGACATCCGGTTCCGGCAACAACATTTACTGTGAGACTTTATAAATAGAATAATACAATAATAAAAAAAATATGGAAGAAATTCTTGCCCGTGAACATAATTTTCAAAATCCTTGAGGTAAATATGTACAAGCTTGCAAGCGAAAAGAACAAGATAGTCTGAACAAGATACATGTTTCTATCCAGGCATACATGGAAGCGAAAGAGTTGAAGCGCGACAAGTGACTCAACTCATCTTCGAGGGGCAAGGATTACAAGCGAAAGTTTTGTGTGAAGCGTCCATAAAGACTTCTATCGAAGTGCACAAGAAAATGGAAAAAAGAACC